GCAGGGAGTCTTGACAATGCTTGCTGGCTCATGGAAAACTGCCAGCATTTGGCACGTTTTGGTTCAGGTAGTCCCTTAACTTTGGGTGATCGGGTTTCTCCAGTGGGATGCTTGCTGCAGCAAAAGCCTCCGTGTGGGAAACTGCTATCTCTCACCTTGCCAAGCTGCTTTCTGTGGTCTGTTTAAAGAGGGAGGACATGGTTGCTTGTTTCTTGCGCTGACTGTCAGCCTCTGCAACAGACTTTCGCTTCATGTGTGCCTCAGAGACTAAGTGTTGATCTATGCTGGTTTTCCTCAACACATCTAGAGGTACACTGCAGGCGGTACAGAGCAGTCTGCCTCCATCTGTGTGCAAGGTCCTTGCAGGATACTGTCTTACATGGTCCAGTGCTGAAATGTATTTGGCCATCTTGGAGAATTTCTTCTCATTGGGCATGCTGAAGAATCCTCTTTAGGTGGCAGCACGCCTGTGCGTGCTTTAGAAGCCGGTGCCAAAACCCTCCCACTTCCCTGACTGGCTCCAGACTGGCCTGTGTCATGGACTTAGCTTCTGATTTGCTCCCCCCCCCCACCTCCCCGGGTGCTTTAGGACTCCAGGGCTTCTTGCCCTTTTCTTTGTTTGCAGCTTTTTTTTTTTTTCTTGGTGAGCCTGCCAAAATTGCGGAGCCTGCTGTTTTTCGTGGAGCCCACTGCCCACTGTTTTTCATGGAGCCAACCCAAATTCTTGGTTTCCATGAAAAACGTGCAATTGTGATTCAGTAGGTCCCTAATAATGATGCCACACTACCTTGTCCTACAACAGTGGTTCTCAGCCCTTTTCAACTTGAGGTACTCCTCATTGGATGTTTGATCGCTCATCAATAGCTTTTGTGAATTAAGTGGCATCCAGTTGCCAAAACTAATTTATATATTATAGTGCTTACTTCCTTGGAAAGGGGCTGGGCAGTGGTGGAGGGGGAAGGCCAAACAGGAACACGTATGAGTCCTCGCTTATCTACTTATCTCCTCACATCTTAACACCCTTCATAGGATCTCACGGCACCCTGTTTCATGACACCCTGGTTGAGAATCACTTTCCTAGACGGTGCCTTCCTGAATGAGATTCAAGGCAAAGTAAGTTCCTGACCTCTTGCACTTGTTAAAGGTCTGTTGGCACTTTTCACAAAAATAGGGATGTTAATCCTATTAACAGGAGTCCTGGCCTAATTCCAGGTGGATAATTGCAGTATATTCTGTATGCCTCTGCAGCATGAATTAAAGATCATATTTTTGTCCCTTCCTGTCTTAAAGAAAGGAAAGGAAAGGGCCATCTATTGTTGGTGTGTACTTTTAGGCCTGAATTCAGTAAGATACTTGAGCACATTGAATCGTGTGTTGCATCATATAAGTAGTCACAAGCAGCTGTTGCATTCTGTCAAAAAGATAGATTCTGTCCTGGCTAGAGCTATATGTATGTGTGTACATATAGCAGAGCTTGGCCCATACATAACTATTTTAGGGATCCCAAAATAAAGCCTGTGTAAAATATTACATAAAAATAATACTCATTCTTTGTGAAAAACGAATTTCTCTTTTGCATAAAAACTCTTAAGTATTTTCTACCTAACAATTGATCAGTGCATCTATACAGCATTTATTCTTCTTAACTGTTTTATTTTTTTTGTTCCTTTTCTTCGCTTCTTCCATCTTCCCTGCATCTTCCTTTTAGGAGCCATAGGTACAGATACTGCCACAGATGCTCAGGTTCCGTGACTATAAGTAAAAGGAAGAACTTCTGAAGCATAAGGGATAAATTAATTGATTAGAGCAGGGGTCAGCAACCTACAGCCTGTGGGCCAGATCTGGCCTGTTGAGCTCAGTTGCTTCAACAGTGTTTTGATAGTGGAGAGCTTTGGCAGCTTTGTGTTGGTGGTGGTCTTCTCCTGCCCAGTGGCTGGGAACTTTGCCCATGTTGTGACTGGCAGGCATGGAGATATGGCAATGGTGGGGATGGTCAAGTTGGAAGTGCTGGCTTGCTTCAGACCTGAGCTGGCTTGTTTTGGTCTCCTGCCATAAAGCATTGCTGACTGCTGGTATAGAGATTTTGACTGTATGTCTGTTCCCCAGCCTACTGCCATCACAGGTTCCTTGAAGTGTATCAACATGTTAATAAATATACAGGTGCTTGAGGCAGAAATCCAGCTATCTGCCCAGGGAGGCACTCATTATTTGTGTACAGGGTTTTTCTTCAGACATTTTGTATAGTATCCAAGAGTGTTTTTGTGTGACTTCCATTTTCTAAAATGAATATTAGTGTGTCCAGAAGCACAATGTGGGGTGTGGTTGGAGCTTGGGATTTTAAGTCAGTTTTGTTGCTTCGAATTTTTGATTCTGGTCACTTAATGCCAGTGCAAAAAATAAAAAAAATTAGACGAACCACTTTCCTTTACACAGGCCAAAATCCAATTTAAAATTCCTTATGGTCTCTTCTGAAGATGGACAGATTGATTGCACAGGTTACAAACCTACTCATGAATTGTCTTCATCCTACTGTGCTGGTTTGTGTCAAGCATGCTACACAGCATAGAACATTTTTTTTTTTTGCCAATCTCTCTCTGAGTTTCTGCAAGAGCCTAGTATTGTTGTTTAGAGTGATGATGATGACATTTAGTTATTAAAGTCAAATTAAATTGCAGTTTTTCCAGCCTGATCGTGCTGTTGCCAGCACACACTTTCTCTGTCCTTGCAGTCTGTCATCTACACCTGTATAAACAACTTGTCATTGTTGAAGGGAATGGCCTGGTTTTTGCTAATTTGGTTGAGACACTTCTTTAAATTGGCATAAAAAGAAACACTTGAACTGCAAAGAGGATTTATGTAGTAGCATGTTGCTCAGCAACACAGGTTCCTTTAAACACTTCTTTTGACTTCGAGAGTTTTCTAACTTTGTAAGCAGTGGAATGGATCCTTCTGTATTAATGGTGCTGCTATTTGGGATTGCAGTAACATTACTGTTAGAACTCTTTTTGGTAGTGCTGTAGCCATGATGGCCCAGGAATTATGTGAGCAGCAAGGATATTTTCGGAGTGGTATCTTTTTTTGGACCAGCCACATAGGTGGGATAAAGTTAGGCAAGTTTTTGAGTGCAAAGCATTCTTCTTTAGGAAGCCTGAAGAAGAATGCTTTGCATTCAAAAGCTTGTCTAACTTTACTCCAGCTATACAGTTGGCCCAATAAAAGATATCACCCCTCAAAAATTCTTGTTCTTGTAGAACTCTTTTTGGAAGTCATTATACTTAGCATGTTTTAGCTTCAGGCTGCGGCATATTTTAAAGGCAGAAAGTATAAATTAGGGGTCTAAATGTTTGAGAAACGTTAAATAAGTAGAAAAATGTATGTGTCTATCCAGCTTTATAATTAATATAGTTCAAAATGCTATACAGAAACAAACGATGGTGAACTATCTAAATTTACTGTGTTCATGTACCTTCATTTTAAAATAAAGAACAAATAAAATACCCTGTTTAAAAAATCAGTGCATTGTGTATTGGAAAGTAGTCCACAAACTTAAGTTATGCTTTTTTCTGTCTAAAAAATATTTATGTAAGTCCATCTTTAGGTCTTTTTAAAAAGTGCCCCTTTGGCTAAACACATTTTCAGAACAAATATTGCTTGTTAGTACATCTTAAGAGCTCTTCCAAATGCATCATCCTGTTCTGTCAACTGAACAATATCTGAAGAAATGGGCATATATTAAGATGTTCTGATAAACATATATTCAGTTAACATTTACCCTGATGCACCTCTACCACGCATTTTTTTTTCCACTGTAGAAAATGAAAGCAACTAGCAAGTCATCAGGGCCATCTATACAAGCAGTGAGGATGCTCCGACATGTTGTAATTACAGCTTGTCAGAGTAGGCTCAATTAATCTAGTCTGCTGGAATGTGGCAATTACCACGCTCCAGCAGACTCCAGCATCTCGTGTATCAGAGTCCCTGCGCTTAAAAATGTTGGCAGGGGCACTTTAACTAAAACTCATGAATAAGCTTTAGTTAAAGTACCCCTGCTGCCACTTTTAAGAGCAGGGACGCTGATACATGAGGTGCTTTAATTAGAGTGGCTCTCGGAGCTGCTCTAATTTAAAGTTCTCCCCACCCCCCAGGCCCCTGCCGGAGCATGTGTATAAACCCCCAAGAGTCTGCCCTAACAGCTTCTTCAATACAACAGGGAGAGTTAAGGCCTGAGCTATGAATTCCTGTGCTTTTCATGAATTGCCAAGCTCTTTACTATTTTTCCATGTTTGTCTGTGGCTGTTTCATGAATGAGACAGTCTGAAAGAGAGAGAGAGGAAGGCCTATTTTAAAATATACTTTCTGTCGTTTAACTCTTTCATTTATTATATATATTATTCAATAGGACAAGATGTCAAGCATGCTTTGCTACTATAATTGCTAGAAGAGTGGGAGGAAGGGGAGTTAAAAGTGAAATAACCATCCTTGCTTACATGATTTTTTTAGGCCTCTTTTACACAAAACCTGTGTGGGACTGACTCATGTTTTAATTGCATGTTTGTAAGATAAATGTTGTACAGTTGGATACTTTATAATCAGTGATCCAAAGAGGGGACCTGTGCAGTTTCAATTTAAAAACACCTTTTTTTTCAACAGCAAGACACTGCAATGCATATCATTTAGGCAAACAGACTATAAAAATAATCATCCCTGTGAGATTGTATCTTGTTTTGAAGAGCCCCAGGCATTTTGAAAAGAGTTAGGAGTAGCAGTCCAATTTCTTATTTTCTCTTTCTGAAGCTGAGCCAACCAAAGTGCTCAGGGCACTATCACAGTGATGTTCACTGTCCTGTGAAGACATTATGCTGAAACCCTTAATGGGCTGTCTATTTCTTTTAAATTGCATTGTTCTGTTGGCTGTTTTCCTTATGGTGAGCTGCATGTATTGCCCCTTTTTCAAAGGGCTGATTTATACTTTTTGTAATTTCTTCTTTGTGTTTTGTCAGGGGGAAATCCTCTCGGACAATTACTTTTGAACAGTTTAAGGAAGCTCTTCAAGAACTCTCCAAGAAACGATTTAAAGACAAGAGTGACGAGGAAGCGGTTCAAGAAATACATAAGCTAATTGAAGGAAAAGCCCCAATCATATCTGGAGTAACGGTATGGGTAGTACTTTAATAATGATGTGCTCTAAATCTCATCCTTGTCCTCCAGACCTGTCCTGTTTTAGGCTCTTCAAGATTGAGATGAATTATTCATCGGCAATTCATTGATGAAGTATTCATTAGCTTACCTAAAATATTTGTACTGAAATAAATAGCAGTAAAATTACTCCCAACAGATTGGACATGTCTCATGTCCAGTGATTTTGTGTTTTTCATGTAAGGACTGCCCATTCAGCCTGTAGAAACAAAATTCACCTGAATTTCTTATTGTATGTATTTGATAGACTTCGTTGGGCACCTGTACATGTGACAGTGGTTTAATCCCCCAGGTTTTATTTTATGCCTTTTAAATTGATACGGTGGGTTTTTACTTGAGACCCACTGTTTCAATTTTTCTGTTATGTTATGACAAGGGGCCTGATCCTCTTTTTTTCTCTGTCAGGGCCGGAGCCTGCCAGTGGCCGAGGGACGAGCTGCTGGTGGCCTGAGCAGCCCCTGAGCTAAGTGGGGGGTCCCAGTTCTTCCCTCTGCAGTTGCGGTGCCCTCTGGGGTCGCTCAGGTGGGCCAGTAGCAGGCCAGGGGCTGCCCCAGCTCAGAGACAGCACCTGGCTTGATCCAACTGTTCTCTGAGCTCACCTGGGGAGCAGCAGCCAGCAGGCTTCCAGCAGACAAGCTTAGGGAACAGTTGGATCAGGCCGGGTTCTGCCTCCGAGCTGGGGCAGCTCCTACTAGCAGCCTTCCCGGGAGGCCCCGGTGTGTGCTGCCACCACGGAGGGAAGGATCATGGCCTCTGCAGCTTAGGGGGTACTCAGCAGCAGGCTCCACCAAAAAAAAAAAAAAAAAGGGGTCAGGGGGTCGGGGTTTTTTTTTTTTTTTGGGGGGGGGGGGGGGGGATACTGCCCAGCTCTCCCATGGCTGGGGGGGCGAGCTGACAGCTGCATCATTGCAAAATTTGTAACATTGCAAACTAAACTACATCCAGATTTAGCTTAGTTTGCAACAATGCAAAGTCATTTAAAACTTGCAGTGCTGGTGCACATGTAATGTGTGCACATTAAGCCACACAAATTACATCTTTGTCGCATGTACATCATGATGACCGTCATGTGTACAAGTGCCCATTGACTTTCAAAGCCTTTCTGGAGATTCAGGTGTATCCTTACTTTCATGGTAGTGGAGTGCTACAACCCGTATCAGGGAGTCTTGTTATAGGAAATTCATTTTTTTTCTTCAGAATGTTGAAATTTCAAAAATACTTGTTTGCTATTGTGCCTGGGAAGATGACAGTTTAGTAGCAAGTTGCTAAACTGAATGGAAACTTTGGGTTGGCATCTCTAACCTGGAATGTGAGATGTATTGTTGTCCTGAACACCCAGGAAGAAAAAATAATACGCAAGAGATGTGGCTTAATTTAGACCACAGTTTGATTCATTCAGCTGGGAATGACTTGCATCATGTCCTTTTTAACCATTTCTATCTATCTGAGGGCTGCTGGCTAGCCATCCAAAATTGGTCCTAGCTCTTTTCCATTTCTTATTTCAGTTAGATCTCTGGGAACTAGACTTTCTGTGGAACAGGTGGCTAGAGACTTGCTATCTGTGAAGATGGGCCTATTAGAATTAAACTTTCCAATATACCTAACAGGTCCCAGACAGGCTGTGGGGAAAGCAAACCTCTGCTTTCCCCTCCCTATATGGCAGTGAAGGAAAAGTTCCTTCCCATTCCCTAATTCCCATAGCAGACCACAGAATCTGGTCCTGGTCCTGCTATAGTTCTTTGAGTGAAAGGTAGAAATCTGTGTGTGAAAGCAGGATCCATGTGGAGGGATTGGGGAGAGCAGGGGTCAATGGCCCAGTCAGGTTCCTCAAGCCAGCCTTGTTCAGGTGAAGGACCAATCCAAAGGGAGGATTTTTTCCAAGAAAATGAAGATTAATGTGAGTTCTTCAACATAATCAAACTAAAAAGAACACATGCATGTATTGTGCTTGTACCAAGTTGGAGTAGCTGCCAGGGGTGGGATGGTGTGGCTGCTAATGTGCAAAGTTAACAGCCCAGAGGTCACAAGTTTGAGGCCATAACAGAAGTACTCATGGCAGGGCTCTGTCAGATTCCAATGAATCTGTGATTCTGCTAAATGCTTTGTCACAAGGACACAAAAAGAACAGGCAGGGGTAGCTGCATATGCAAATGGATATTTAGCTGATAGAACACAAAAATATAAGTGTATGAGGACATTTAGTATTCAGTAGGCTGATGGGTCGTAAAATGGTTTCTCGAAAGAAAAGAAAAAAAGGTCAGTTGCATGCAAACTTTTGCCTTTAGAAAGTTAAAAAAGAGTCTGGGACATTTCTTGCCAAATTTGAACTGTTGTTAGTTATTATATAAGTCAAGCAGTCAAAGACCAAATAGAAAGTAAAAAAAAAAATCTGCCCTGTTGATTAGCAAAGTTTCTAGGCTAAAGGCTAAACACCATTGCTGTAAAGGAGAAGTTTGATAGGGGATTCACAATGGATTAACTTGTCCTGTATTTAAAGTAACCCTTAAACTTAAACACAATGCTGCTTTTTGTGTTTTAAACAAAAGTGAAACAGACATAACTTCATATCTCTTCAAATATTATAAGATGCTTTTTACTTTGGAAGTGGTAACCTAGAGGCCCTGGAACAAGAGATGAAACTCCTTCCCTTATAGGGATGGTGACATCATAAGGATGCTCAAGTTGAATGGAAATCCATGAAGCATTGAACAAAGAGGAAAAGTTTGATTTCTTGAAAGGGTTGGCTTCTCTTCTAAGGTCTGCTGATTGTTATGATGCCCAGATGTTGCCTTTCTCTTGCTGCTGGTAAGCTGAAACAGACATCAGAAGAATATTGAGGGAAAAATAATCTATTGGAGAAACTAGGTAAAGACCTTATTTTATGAGAACTTGGAAAGCCCTGGTTACAGTTCAGATTATCAGAGGGTTCTGCCTTCTCATTCTTCTGTGCCATTTAGTAATGTGATACTAGAAGAACAGCTCCTACTGACTGAAGAAGCTTCTTTGTAGGGTTTTTTTTGCCCCATTCCATGTACCATGGGCAAACAAACTAATGAGCACATCTGTGCTGCTAAGAAGAATGAATATATCCCCACCAACTTGTTCCCCTTGTACCACTTTCCAGTCTAATACTCTGCAGCTGATCTTGTCTGTGGATAGAAAGGCAGCACTTCACTAAAGCAAGCTATAACTACACAGATGAGTTCTGTAAGAATCTGGAATTGGCCAGTGTCACTAGCTCACTAAAAACCCATATAAATACCCATCAGATTTGTGACTTTATGCTGGGCCAGTCATCAGAAGAGGGGGGGAAAGCCCCCTGCAGTTCTGGCTGGGGTTGGGGTTGGGTGGGAAGGGCCTCGGCCTTTACTTCTGCCCTCCAACCCACCACAGCACACCCTCCCCAGCAGTTCCAGCTGGGTTGTGGGTGGGGGGCAGGGACGGAGGCCTCTGCTTCTCCCCTCCCACCCCCAACAGCTGGCAGGGGATGGGTCTGGGGAATGTATCCCTGGTTGGGCCAGTCAGCAAGGGAGTGAAGAAAGCCCCACAACAGTGCACCCCCACAGTGGGTATGATTGGCGGGGGCAGGGCAGGGCTCTCTGCTGCCCCCCACATCCCCTCTGTGTGGCCCAGCTGACGGACGCACGCTGGACACAGGGCTGGGGAGCAGAGGCTTTGCTGCCTCAGCTCTGTGATAACCTAAGGACAAAAGCATGCAGGTAGAAGCTAGCCTATCTGCCCTGTGGGGTAGGAGTTAGGGGAGTAGCTGCAATACATCCTAGGTTGCCAGGAGACTGCAATCTAACTTGAATTGGGACAGGATTTGGCTCAGAAGTTCAATAGACCAGTCTAACCTAAACTTACACCCAGGGAATTAGGTGCAGAAAAATTCAAAGTTATACACAGGAAAACTCAAAATTATGCAGAATTAATTACTTTTATATATATATATATATATATATTTTACAAATTAAACTAAATATAACACTGTTTGAACCTTGTTTAGAAATATATGCAGGTACTTTGCATGGTTGTGGGTTGTGTGGGGGGAGATTTGTGAAGGTGTGGGTGTGTGGGAGGGTTGGGGTGGGTGTGGGGGGTATGGGAATATGTGGGGTTTGTGAGCATGTGTAGGAGTGGAGGGTTTGTGGGGGGTGTGGGTATGAGGGTATGTGGAGTTTTTGGGCAGGAGCGGGGCTTGGGGTTGTGAAAGTGTGGGGGGGTGTATGTGTGGGGCTTGTGGGCAGGTGTGGGTATGTGGGGTGTGGAGGGGAGGGAGAGATGGGATGGGGTTTGGGTGGGGGGTCCCCACCACACATTTTCCCCCCTCCCCATGAAGCACAGCCCCCACCACCTAACAGTTCAACAGCATCAGGCAGAAGGCAGTGACTCCCACTCTGCAGGCGGGAGCCGTGCACCATCGGGCTGGATGGGCTTCGTGCATCCATGTGTGGTTTCCTGCTGGAGTGCTGGAAGTCCCACATGGAGGCACAGAGCCAGCCAGCCCAGTCCGATGGTGCATGGATTGGGAGCCACATGCCAACCGACTGGCTGGGCTCTGTGTATATGGGGCTTCCAGCACTCCAGCAGGAAGCCACATGTGGAGGCAAACAGGAGGCTGCCTGGCCCGATGGCACACGACTCCATGCCTCCATGTGTGACTTCCTGCCCAGCCCGATGGCACGCAGCTTCCGGTCCATGTTCTGTTGGGCCATGCCAGCCCTCCATATGAGGCTTCCAGCATTCCAGCAGGAAGCCACACATAGAGGCACGGAGTCACATGCCATCGGGCTGGGTGAGCTCCTGCTTGCCTCCACATGTGGCTTCCTGCTGGAGTGCTAGAAGGCCCACATGGAGGGATGGGGCTGGCTGGCCCAGCCCAGTGGCATGCAGCCCACACCCACCCACAACCTCATGCCCACACACACCCCTATGCCCACCCACAAGCCCCACACCCA